GACTCTGTTCCCCTTTCGGGCTCTGTCTTTACATTTATTTTGAATGAAGCTCGCGATTATGGTAAGGGGCGTTACATTTCCGACGCGTGCTTGTGGTGTTCGGCCAATCACAATGCACTGGGTCAGCTGGCCAATCAGAGCAGACTGCGTTTGTCAAAGGAGGGGGCTTTGTTGAAAACTATGTGTTTGAGAGAGGCGGGGCATAGAGAACCTACAATAATGTACAGTATTTGAAAAATAATGTGTTTTTTGAACATTAAAGCGTCAACATATTCTGTTACACCAAATACACAAAATAATGATCTTTAAAATAGCATCATATGACCCCTTTAAAGTTTAATAAAATAGAAAACTTGTTTTAAATTTCACAATATTACATTCTATTTTTGATCAAATAAATGCAGTCTTGATTAGCAAAAGATACTTTAAAAAAAAAAAAAAAAAAATCTTGCTTATCCCAAACTTTTGATCGGCAGTGTACATATGTTAAATAAATAAATAAAGTTACATTTTCAATTTGATCTGAACTGACATTTGTAATTTCAAAAAGTTTAAAGACCAAAGTTGAATAGTTGAAACTGAAAGACAAGTTGAGTGAAATATGTGCAAATGTTTGGCTGGTAGCAGTGTATGTGGGATATGAACCTGGGCAGGGTAGAGATCTGGTGTCAAACGCACAGTCTCCAGCCTCCAGAGCCACCACTTCATCCTCATTCTCATTCTCCGTGTCACAGTCCAGCTCGCTGTCACTGCTCATGCTCGGCAGCACATGGTGGGGCTGCTTCTGGCTGAGGAGACCTATGGACAGACAATCATACGTTTATATGAACTGACAGATGTCAGTACTGAGAAAAGTTTTTTTTTTGTAGTAGTAGCTGTGCTTTATTTCCTATTGCACACTAAGAGAGTGTTACTCATGAAGCACCTGAACAAATGTAATTTCCTGAGAAATTTGATGTTCAATTAAATGACAGTGGTGTTCGTTCACAGCGTGTGCAGTGACTCATCGATGCAACACTAGTGTAATTTGCTGCAGTATAATTATACCCCATGTTTTTTCCTGTTTTTGAGTTTTCAAGAACGGATCGATCTTCATGTCTCACCTTCATCAGGGCATGAGGAGGAAGAGGATGGTTCAGCCAGTGACAGCAGTGACTGATGGATCTCGCCGGCACCCTCTTGGTCACAGTTAAGAGAGCTGTCTGTCAGCAGGCCAGACCTGAGGGATACAACCTTATTAAAAAAAACATGTTTTTAATGCCATTTTATATGTGAAAAAAAAAACGACTGAATAAAACAAAGAAACAAAAAAAACAACAACAAATTTAAAAAAAAATGCAAAATGTTATATTAAAATATAATAAAGTTAAAGATTGGCACACTCAAATTTTACAAACCAAAATAAAAGCAAATATTAGCGTGGCAGAAACAAATTGTGTGTCATGCTATTTATGTGAAAAAAGACAAAACAAACAAAACAAAACATCGGCATGCTGACTGTAACAAACTAAAACACAATATTAAAAAAGTAAGGGTGAAAAAAGAGTGTCATGTTATTTCATGGAAAACAAAACAAAACAGGAAAAACAAAAAGCCAAATATTAGCATTAACTAAGCTAAACAAAACAAACAAACAAAAAAAACAAACTACACCAACCCAAAGAACACAGAAAAAGCCAAATATAAATAAATTTTACATGAAATAAACTAAAACAAAAATTAGGATGGTAAAAGCAAATGTGTGACAAGTATTTAATGCGAAACAACTAACAACAAATACTACTAAACAAAATCGAACCCAAAAACAAATCAAAACAGTAAAACAAAAACCAATACAAAACTAAAAAAAGTCAAATATTAGCATGGTGAAAGCCATTGTGTGTCATTTAACCATGCAATGTGAGAAAAAAAAGCATAAGTCTCTTAAATAAAGTAAATATCAAGGCCAACCACTGATTTACAGCGTCAGAAGAAAACTTAAGAGATTCCAATAATAACAATGAATGTAATGACAAAATAAAACCAAGGAGCTGCGCGTTTTAATGTCTATTCTAGATCTGAAAACAGCAACCTTCATTCAGGCTCACTTACTGCATTTGTTTATGAATGGAAACACACACACACACACACACACACAAACAATACACTGTGCTGCTGATGGCTTGTTTCTGTACATTACCCCACGGCTGGAGTCCTGCGCTGTTTGGTGGCAGGAGCAGCTGCTCCACTGAGGCCTGTGACACTGAACAGGTCTGAAGCTGAAGCTCCATACAGAAGTTCCTCATGTTTGGAGCAAAAGGGCTTATCAGAGGAAGAGGAGCTGCTTCCCAGCGATGGAGGAGAACTCTGCACACTGCGTGCTTTCAGCGAGCCTGCAAAACACAGATAGCGTCATTTCTAAACGATTTGAATACACCTTGTAATATCAGGGTTGAGTTTCCCAGAAATCTCTCAAAATTAACATTTCAGATTATTCCTAGCGTAATTGGAAGGGTTTTAAAGCTATTGTTGCATCTTGGGATGAGCAAAATGACATTTTCATGTTATCTGAACAACTAGTTAAGTAGTCAGTTTAGGTTAGGTTAGATTGACATGGCATCTTAAAAATGCAATGCTTATGGTGCAAGATGCTGAAAAACTGCATGAGATGATAAACTAGTAGATTGATGTGTAGTGTAGTGTACTGACCATTCAAAGAGGAGGGTCCCTCAGGTTCAGTAGGGGAGTCTCGTCCAGCTCCTCTCAGCTCTTTCTCCCCAGCATCCACAGCCCTGCGCAGTGACAGTCCACCCAGAGCTCCCACGCTCTCCTGCTTAGGAGAACCAGCCTTCTTCACTCCTAAAACAAAGTCACACTGAATCTACAACAATATAAGATTCTTTAATGGTTCTTGAAAGAAGACTCTTATGCTTACCAAGGCTATATTTTATTTGATTATAAATATAGTAAAAACAGTAATATTGTGAAATATTATAACATTTTGAAGGAAGTGTTTTCTATTTTAATATATTTTAAAAAGTAATTTATTCCTGTGATGGAAAAGCTGAATTTTCAGCATCATGATTCCAGTCTTCAGTGTCACATGATCCTTCAGAAATTCTTCTTATTTTCTGATTTGGTGTTCAAGAAACATTTTTTATTTTCAATGCTGAAAACAGTTGTGCTGCTTAGTATTTTTTTTTTAAATGGAAAATGCGACTTTTTTCCAGGATTATTTGACTAATAGAAAGAACATTGAAATAAAAATGTTTTGTAACATTATAAATATCTTTACCATTACTTTTCGCTGCCTCATTTTGACATTTCATGCAGTGTGATATGCGATACTCTATCTGAAAGTATTTTAAAGAACATTTTGTTCATTATTTAATAATCAATACAATTGTCAATCAGTTTTAGGAGCTCATTATAATTGTAAAGACTACATGCTATATTTGTCCTTAAAGTACACAAACTTTTAAAAAAGCGCCTAAATTACACAAGTACTTTTACAAATCCATACAAATTTTAATCTAAAATCTAAACTTCATGTTACTAAAAAAACTGTTTTATGTGTCATATGAGGTAATCTAGGTCAGTGTCATACCACTTCGAGAGTGTCGTGATGAGACAGGCGCTTTGAAGAGCAGTTCGCTGGGTTTGCGACTGGGCCCCATCTCCGAGTCCATGGAGGGGCCCTGATCGTGGTTTGAGGCTCCCTGAGAGGAGATTCGACCGGCTCCACTGCGTGCTTCCAGCTGTCCTTTTACGTCTGACATCTTACTGCGCACTTCTGCCATCTGAGCCTTCAGTCTGATCAGGACCCCTGAGTCTGGGGCCGACCGACGCACCGCCTGAGGCCGACGCTCACGCTCTTTACGAGAAGGCACTGCAGCGGCTGTCAATCAAAAACGGTTAATGAGTCATGAATCATGTCGACTTTATAGTCACTTCAGAGTGAGTTCATGTTCATAATTCCCATCTCCAATCTGAACACATCAATGACACCTTGGCTCTGGAGGAGAGAGGTAGGGGGACGGGGCTGCATCCCCCACAGTGACTCCACATGGCTGCGGTCCTTCAGGTCCAGTAGTTGGATGAGGATGACCGGGTCGATCTCCAGGAGGCTGGCTGAGCTTGCACCTGCCCCACGCCTTGAACCCCGGGCACCTGCACCAGAACCTCCTGACCAGCAGTGGGAGACAGTTAGTACAGACTGTGTAAGGTTAGCATTATGCAGCTATAGTCAATAGGTAAGCATGTAGAGGTGGTGGCCAGTAGAGATATGAAAAGTACAGGCAGAGAACTTATCATAATTGTGAGAGAGTACATTACAGTGGATTACATCACAATATGCAGCATATGGACAGTTAAATTTTTTTGTAAATATTGCAAAACCCAAGGTAGTAATGTTTATTAAATTTTTTTAATTGTGTGTATTATTATTAACATACTATTATTATTATTAGCATATTAATTGTTTTAGTATTTTTATGTGCTTTTGTCAGTTTTTTTCCCCCTGAATACATTTATTTAGATTTCAATTTTTATTTTTTACATTTATCTTTAGCTAAAGCCAGGCAGCATTTCAAATTTTCAGTTAAGATGATGTACTAAAATTACTAAGGCTAAAGCTAAATTTAAAAATAGCTTTTTTTTTATTACAATTTTTTTTTTTATTATTTAAAAAAATATTTTTTTATTTAAAAAGTTTTTCCATCTAATATTTGTATTTTAGTTTTAGTTTTTTTTTCAAAAACTGAAAAACTATTTTAATAGTTTTAGTTTTAATTGAAGTCACAATGAAAATCAAAATGGACTATTTTTGTATGGAAATTGAATTGTTTATTATTAATGATTTATCCGTGCACATCATTTTATTTTTTACTTTTTAACTTATTACATTATTGTCATATAGTTAAACATTATAGTCCTAGGTATTTTTTTTGTGGGAATTATTAAATGTCATTTCAATTTAGTGAGCACTAAACGTCTTGCAGCAGAAGCTCTGACAGTGTTTTAAACTGCAGATTCTGCAGTCAATCTTCAAAGGCTGATATGGTAATTTGGCTCAGTTACATCACTACAACTGATTAACAGGGTGTCGCAGTCGATGACACTTCAAAGCCAAGTGTTTCAACACACCAAATTGCCATATGCATGACACTCGCTTTTCATTAGAAATAACTGATTCATTATTTGAATCAATGAGGCCGCTTGGACAGAGAAACTGGTTCACCTGTTGCCCCGGCAACATCATCGGGTAATTCACCTTCCTCCAGGTCTAGATTCCCACTGTACTCCACATCATTCTCACCAGACCTATAACGGATAAAAACAAATCACACTTGTGTTATTTCTCTGGTACTAGTGGAATGTGAGCAGCAAGTAAACAAATCTACAATGCATAACCAGATCAGCGCTAAAATTTCGGTTTAAGTGTAGAAAGGTTTTGAATGATTAGTTGGATCCCAATGGAGCTAAATGAGGTGTGGCCGGCATTATGTCCCCAGTGTATCGCCACATGCTTTAAATAGACCAGGATTCGTTTGCGTGGCTCCCCCTGTTAATAGTGAGAAGTGGTATAGTCTGAAATAAGCTGCTCCACAGGGGGTGTTGAAAGCATTCTGCTCCAAGCATCCTGCTGATTATGTATGTATATGTGAGTGTGTGTGTGTAAGGGTAACACATGCACCATTGTCTCAGGCTCAACTGTGTGATGACTCCGTCCCCTCCAGCGGTTCTCTGCGCTGATCCACTACAGTATTTATAGAAGCTAAGAGCTTCGACTTCACATGGATACATCGAACAAATGTTTGCTTACCCTGCTAGTATTTACACGGGCCTTACCAAAAAAATTATATATTTTCTTTATATATTGAAAAAAAAAAAAGTTACTCTCATTAACTCATTTAGAAAATAAAAATAAAAAGTAATAAAATAAATAAATGCATAATTCCCCTCCATATACATGAAAACAATAGGTTTTTAATTTTTTTAAATATTAAATATAAAGCTAAAATATAAAAAAAATAAATCAAATAATAAGAAAACAAATTTATTATTTCCCAACAATACACATAAAACAATAGGCTTTCTTTATATTGAAAAAGATGATTAATAAAAGTATAATAATAATAAAATTAATCATATGTAATTGGACATCATTGCATTTGTACTGAAATTGCTAATCGGTCATGATGCATTCTGGAAAAACATGACCAACCACCTACTACCTGGTAAACCACTGTGCTGAAACAAAGGTTTTTTGCAGATTTAAATGAAAAAAACAAAAAAAAACACAACAACAACAACGAGATCAAACTGAGACATTTGATTAAAGGGGTCATATGATGCGATTTCAATTTTTCCTTTCTCTTTGGAGTGTTACAAGCTCTTGGTGCATAAAGAAGATCTGTAAAGTTGCAAAGACTAAAGTCTCAAATCCAAAGCGATATTCTTTATAAAAGTTAAGAGTCAGCCACGCCTACCTAAAACAGCTCATTCTAACACGCCCCCACATATCTATGTTGCTATATGGGAAGATTTGCATAACGCCGCCCAAAAAAAAGAAAGAGGGCGTAACTTTTATTCTCGCTGTAGTTTTGTTGTTTCCGCCGCCATGTTGTAAAGACGCTGTGTGCTTCGTTGTGAAAGCGAAACTACTTTGTTTGGCCTTCCAAAAGAGGACGATATCTGCTTCGTCATGCCTGGAGCTGATCCGTGCTGATTGCTGAGGAAATACTACAACTTTGCGCTGTCGATCACCGGATCGGCTTTCACCGTGGACGAAGCGGAGTCCAGCCCGGAGTCGTCACATGTCCTTCCGGACGCTCCTTCGTCGAAATCACCGGCCGTGCCGGTCTCAAGCCCGCCGCCTCTGCTCACTCTAACCCTCCAGCCGTTCCTCACGGTAGCCCCCGGCCTCTGCTCACTCTAGGCCGCCGTGTGTGACGCTGTTTCTATGCACAAGACTTCACAGGTTTGCCTGACTGACATCAGGATGCCTGTGAAGCACAGATGAAGCACACATGAAGCACAGAGAACTTTAAAAACATCTGACGAGTTTAAAAAAAAAAAGAAAAAATTGAAGCTTTTTGTGCTGTATCAACATGTGATCATAAAAAAAAATCAAGTCAAATCCATATGCAATCTCAAGTGGTCACAGGAAACCCATTTGAGATGATAATACCAGTTGTAAACAGAGCCTAACACCCCATAATTCCCTCTTTCCCCTACTTTATCCTGAATAAGCGGCATTTGGGTAACGGTAAGTGCATGGGCACCTTTACAAAGCCAACATGAAGAGCTCACACAAAACACTCCAGCAAATAGAGTCAAAGGTGTGAGAGAATGTGCGTGGGCCTGAGAACAAGAGAGCACGAGTGTGTGTGCACACTGGAAAAGCCAGAGACTGTGAGAACGAGCATTTGTAAGCAGGAGGCAGAGGCTCTGATGACTCATTCGTCTCATCTGGTTGGAGCAGTGTGTGCGTTTGAGAGCTGTGTGAGCGGGCGGTAGCCGGCAGCATGAGCAGAAAAATGTGAGGTTCTGACTCCAACACCTCACTACAGAGACACAAGCGCTCTCACAGAGCCTACACAAGTCAAAGCTGCCAATACTGCTCATTCTCTCAGATCGTGATAGGACAGGACAGAAAGAACAGCTCTCTGGTTAAACACAGAGTACGAGGGAATGCCTGTCACAAATGTGGTAGCAGCCCTAATTAAACTGTGCTTTCCAGCCGGGGGGAGGATACAGCTGTTACCCTATGGCACACAAAGCACCATCTCGTGCGAGAATCTTAGTACACTAGTATTTACCACACCATGAGGACGTGACCTAGCAAATGATGAGTACTGCTTTAAGAGGGGGAAAAAAGGAAAAACACTATAAGAGCTGATCACGATTTTGCCAGAAACACTTTCAAAAGACCTACATTATCTACATATATCCCACAATGAAGCTTGTGACTTCATCAAGTGCTGTCTTCCAACAAGTATGGTAAAATAATATTATTATTATTAATGGCTTTAATTATAGCTCATTCAGTTAGGTTTGCATCAGAACTGTTAATCATTGCTGTGATTCTGCCTGGGTTAAAAAAAAAAAAAGTTCAGCTGAAAGAAAAAAAATATATAAAAATCCTATCATTATTTATACACCCTCATGTTGTTAGAAATTTGTTTTAGTTTCTTTCTTTCTAATAAAATTCTCCAAACAGAAAAAACTCCAAGCTGCATTTTTCCATATAAAGAAAGAAAATGAACATAGACTATCAAGACTGTCATTCAAAAAGAAATGGAAAACAAGATCAAGACAAAAGCACAAAATTAAGTAAATGGTGACATTTTTTTTAACTATACTGGTGACTATAACAGTGGGCCTCAAATGGTACTGCTTCAAAAATCATATTCTGAAATTTTAGCAAAGAGGTTTTTAAATCTTGTACGTACATGGTCTCTTCGTCAATATCATTCTCCTCTGTGTTACTAGTGGCTGTGGAGCTCCCAGAGGTGCTACTACCGTCCAGAGGATTGACATCTTCATCTCCAGTTAGACAGTCCACCTCCAGATCCCCGTCAGACAACTCCTAACATTGCATCAACACATCATCATCAAACTGTTCCTAATGTGCGCAATATAACATCAAATAGCTCCAAGCATGAAAATGATTCAAGTAATGTGGCTGTCAGTGCTTCAGGTTCACTACATTACATGTAGGCTTGTTTTCTTTAGAGATCACAATGAGTGTAATCTGATTTGAATAGCATATGCCTAAAAGCAGATGATGATGTAAGAGTGTGTATGTAAAAGATGTTTAAGATGTGGCTATGATGAAATGATGGATAATATCTTAGGGGGAGTAAAAAAGAAAACGAAAAAGAAACGTTTCTAGTTTTCAAAGTGAACAAGAAAAAGTTGAAGATTTTATTGCTAAAATAATGTTAAATAATAGCAATGAATTTCACCATGCTGCTCTGACAGGCCTTACATTAGAGTCATCATGCTGGGTCTTCTCTTCATCCTCATCTTCTTTTGTCTCTGCTGAGGCTGCCTGACTCCCTTCCTCTAGTACGGAGCTCTTTCCTTGACGGGAGTCTCTCCCGGAGGAAGTCGTGGGGCAGAGATGCCGATCAAATGGAGAGGAACTCCTCGACTTCTGCCGACGGAACAGTTCTATAGCTAGCCTCTGAACAGAAATACACCAAAATATAAAAAGCATACATGACATAACACAATTTGAAAGAAGTGTTTCTTAATTAAGTTTGAAAACATCAACAGGCATTACATGTTACAGCATAAATATTACATGGATACCTAATGCATTCATAAATGTACTCGCTTCAGTCTATATAGAAAGAAGTGGCCATTTCAAATTCGGTTCACGTTTGAAACAACGCAGTTTCTTGAAGCCAGATTCTAAGTAGGATGTATTCAGGGTAACATAAAACTTTAACACTAACCTCTTTTAGGTTGTTGATCTGTTGAATGTAGCTTGACTGGGCTGACTCCAGCTGAGTTATGTACCAATACTGATCTCTACACTTCTGAAAAAACGTAGGTGATCGCACTTGATACCTGTGAGATTAATTGAAAAGGCAGAGCATGAGAAATGAACAAGACAGCATACACTGGATACATCCTTGGATAGTATATCATGCATTTCATGGTAATTCTAAAGGAGGAGGAAATTCCATTCCCATTCCATTGAACACAAATACTGTACGCTTGCTGTGTCAACAGGCTTTAAAGGGGTCATGAAGTGCATGAAAAGAAAAACTTTTTTTTATTTTGTAGGCCTACTGTTCTCTGTTGTCCACTTATAATGTTATCAAGAAATTTTATTCAAAAACATCATAATTTAGAAGTAATAGGCTATTTTCTGTCCTGTTTTTAACCCCCTCATCAGAACTCTGCGTTTGAATAGGCGTGGCGGATAGTAGACTCAGAAGTAAATGCCCACTGCTATGACTGGCTAATAGTTGTGTATGTTTGCCAGCCTACATCCTTCACAAAAGGACGCTGCAGTGATTTAGGTTTAAAATGCATAAATACTTATTTCAAACGATCTGTTTAACAGACAAAGCAATAGGGATCACGTAATATAAACGGTTACTCACAAAACTGTGTGTTGCAACATTACTGTTCCTGATCCAATATAGTCAGCACAGCATCCTCTTTTAGTTTCAATCTTTCTGAAAATCCCACTCGGAATTGTGCTTTATTTGTAAATGAATCAGCGGTAAAATCAAGTGAACAAAGGACCAAGTTCTTACTGACGTGTTCTGAAACTTCATTAAAAATAAAGTTAATCCACTCTTTCCTAATGTTGGCACGCACAGCGTTTTGCTGTCTTCTGAGCCATCTTTATCTTTGGGTTTCTGTGTAGACCTGTGTTCGTCTCTCGTTATTTACACTACGTGTGTGAATCAGTGGGCGGGGCTAAACAGGCAGCGATGTAGAAGCAGGCGTTTGATCTTCTTCTGCGGAGGTGGTGTCATTACATCATGAAGGTCGTTTTGGCAGACTGGCTTTAATATAAGCTGTTTTTAGACTAACAAGAAAGTTTTGACTTCTAAAACCTACAGGATGTTTTTATAGCACAATGACCTCTTAAATGTCAAAAGACCAAGGGAATTTGGTTTCTCAGTTCATGACCCATTTAATAACCGAGTAAAAAATATTAAAGGTACTATTTGCGACATAAAATCTAAAACAACTAATTGTGAGTTCGACCCACTGCCTACTCACTTGTTTACCATCTTTGTCTTCATTAATTACTAAAATTATTCACTCTTCACTTGTTTCGGATTCTGTACCTTCTTCTCTTAAAACGGCTATTATTACCCCTATACTAAAGAAATCAGGGACTGATCAGTCAAATTTTGAAAATTATCAACCAATTTAGAGCTTTTTCGCATTTGGCTCCCAAACTCTGGAATAGCCTTCCTGATAACGCTTGGGGTTCAGACACATTCTCTCCGTTTAAATCTAGATTGAAGACACATCTCTTTAGCCAAACATTCACATAATGCATATCATAATCTTGTACTGCAGTTATATCTGATCAAATGCACATTATTATTCTTTAGTGTTCATTGTGTTTGATTACGTCATTAACTGATTTTTACCGTACATTTCTGCCATGTGTACATCAACTTGACATAGCCACCACTGATAAGCTACTACTAAATATATTGTAGAAACGTAATTTTCTGTAAAGCTGCTTTGCAACGATTTGTATCGTGAAAAGCACTATACAAATAAACTTGAATTTAATTTCTAATTTGCCATTCATTTCTAAAATCTTGGAAAAATTTGTTGCAGCTCAAGTTCACAATCATCTCTCCAATAATAAATTGTTTGAGCAATTCCAATCCAGTTTCCCCACCATAGCACAGAGACTGCTCTTGTCAAAATTACTAATGATTTGTTATTGGCAGCTGATTCTGGTTTATTAACAATAATTGTCCTACTTGACCTGAGTGCGGCCTTTGATACGATCTCGCACAAGATACTCCTGGACAGGTTAGTTTCTATAGGGATCACTGGCACTCCCCTGTACTGGTTTAGGTCTTATCTTACCGGTCGCACTCAGTTTGTTCATATTAAACATTTTAAATCAAGACCATTTACAGTTACTACTGGTGTCCCTCAGGGTTCTGTTTTGGGCCCACTCTTATTCATCATCTATTTACTTCCTCTTGGCCATATTTTCAGGAAATATGGTATCCATTTTCACTGCTATGCCGACGACACCCAGCTTTACCCGTCTTCCTAACCCTCTAGTTCATTTCCTCCACCTTCCTTGACCAGATGTTTAGCTGAAGTTAAAGACTCGTTTTCAGCCAACTTTCTAAAACTCAACAGTGATAAAACTGAGGTCTTACTTATTGGTACAAAATCTACTTTGACTAAATCTGATTCTTTTACTGTGGATATCGATAATGATGCAATTTGTCCTTCTCAGCAGGTCAGGAGTTTGGGTGTCATTCTGGATAGCACACTTTCTTTTGAAGCTCATGTCAATAATATTATGCGTACTGCGTATTTTCACCTGCGTAATATTAATTGCCTCCATACCTCTCTCACAACGAATAATACTGCAGTTCTTATTTATGCACTGGTTACCTCATGTATCTACTATTGTAATGCTCTCCTTAATGGTCTTCCTTCTAAACTTCTCTATAAACTCATTCTGATTCAGAACTCTGCAACTCATGTCCTTTCTAGGACTTCATCAATCGAGCACATTTCTCCAGTTCTCCAACATTTACACCGGCTCCCAGTAAAGTATCGCATTGATTTCAAAATTTTGCTTCTCACATTTAAGGCACTTCACAACCTTGCTCCACCGTATCTTACTGACCTTCTCCACATCTATACTCCTTCTCGCACTCTCAGGTCTTCACACTTGATCTCTCTTGTGTCGCCTCGTATATGTTTAAGCACCATGGGAGCAAGAACTTTTAGTTTTGCGGCCCCTCGCCTATGGAACTCTCTTCCCCCCTTAAGACTTATCTTTTTTACCCAGGCTTTCTTATGACTTGCTCTTATTAAGCCTTTATTGTATTTATAATGCTTGTATGCAGTTGTGCTGTTGAATTTTGCAATGCTAACAGGATTTGTTTAACTACTGTTTTTACCAATTTGCTTGCTGTAAGGTGACCTTGGGTGTTTAGAAAGGCACCATTTAAATAAAATGAATTATTATTATTTATATAAAAAAAGTCAAAAATTCAGCTGCAAGATCGCACCTGAGCACAAGAGTGTCAGTCTGCATATTCAAGTAGCCCTCACTGGCGAGAAGGTCCAACCTGAAGAACCTGTTATACCCCCAGCACTCGCCCACCTCAAAGTCTGATGCAAATTCTCGAATGATGTTTTTGGTGGGGTCACTGGAGGCCTGATGGACCATCTCCACCCTGTATTCATACCTGGAAGAAATTCAACCAGTTAGACTTTAAAAACAATATTTGTGACACTGCACAGCAGGATGACAGGACAGCAAGTGCAGCCTACTTGGACGTCTCTGGGAGTCCAGCTGACAACTCTAGAAAAACAGAGAGATAGTTTCCTCGAACAACGCCATTGCCATCCTAAAACACAACAACAACGTCTGTGAGAATAGGAAGAGTCTGTAAATTTCAATTTGTCACCGTGTTACGGGTGACAAACTTACCGGATAAACCTTCAACCTCCAGCACAGGCCTGATATCTGGAGCGGGGGGCTGTAGACGGGGTCTGCTCTCTGCCGCAGAGTACTTACGGCAATGAGACAACACCAATTCAAATGAAGCAAGAAAACTAATGCAGCATTTAAGATATAAATTAATAAGAAAGACAAAGGGAGTGTGATTACCTGAAGTTTGCCAAAACAAAAGTGCTCGAGTCATAGGCAGGGACCAGCTCACTGAGAAGAAATGAGATATGACTGTGAGCAATTTATCTTGCAAATCGAAATGGGAATGTCTCTACAAGTTCACCACAAACTTAATTTCACTCATAAATAAAGAAGTGTTATTCTAAAATCTCACTGGAGAAATAGCACACTGTATTGGCCTACAAAGTGACATTATGATCGAATGGCTTTATAAGCTTAGAGTTGTTTTTACAGGTGTGCATGTTTATTCATTATTCACAGACTGCGCCAAAGTTCAAGCTTACAGAGATCTCGTCTCTGTATGTGAAGGAGCAATATAACAGGTACAGTGCCTATGTTTGTGTACCTGGTGAAGTCTGGTGGGACAGGAGTGGTGACAAAAGACTGCATTGGCTTCCTGTGAACCTGCTGGAACATGAGCAGGATCTCTGGACTCTTAGAGATCAGCTCACTCTTACTGCACGAACGCAGCTGTGGGGAGAAAACACACTTGTCACAAATCAAAAAGTCTACAAACATCTGAAATGACTCATGAATTCTTCTAAATTCTAATTTAATGCTATATTTTAATTTCAAATTATTGTAATTACATAATTTAAGTGAAAAGCTGAACTGAAAACTTCACATCAAATTCAGAATTAGTACTTGGTTAATCACATTTTCTTATTTGACCCATTCTACTTTATAACCTTACAATTAGAAATATAAAAATAAAAAAACAAATGTTTATTTTCAGGTCTTAATTGTAGTTGAATTGCACATTTTCAATGTAGTCTCAAGACTTCTATCTCCATTGCACATCTGCTTTATTTTACTGATACACCAGATCCACACACCTGATGTTCCACTTCCTGCAGCAGAGACTCCAGCAGTTCTGTCTCCTGTGTCAGAGAGGTCTTCTGTCCTGTGGGTGCATCAACTTTACGTTAGACCAAAATAACCTCAAATGTCAGATTACATGAAAACTGTCAGAACAAAAGCATGTATGTACCCATGAGTGTGATGAGTTTGTTCTTGAGCTGATTATCGAGCCGAGCAATCATCATTTCCACAGCATTTCGGATTTCCCTCACCCTCTCATCCTTTGCCCCTCGCACCGCCTCAACATTCTTCTCCTGAAAAACATAAAATGTAAAGGTATAGCTGTCAGAACTTCCAAAATTGATATCATAAATCAAAAAAGTATGTGGACACCCAAACACGCTCCCATATAAATATTTGAGCACCAAATCAGCAAATTAGAATGATTTCTGAATCATGTGACACTGAAAAATAGAGTAATGAAGCTGAAATCATTGACGCTTTAAAGTACATGAAAATAAAAGTTTAAATTGTAATATTTTAAAATATTACTATTTTTACTATATTTTGATCACATAAATACAGCTATGTGAGCTTTAGCATTAATAGGGAGTTGGCTCTCCAACTTCCACTTCTAGGAAGATTTTCCACTAGATGTATTTGTCCACGTAATGTACATTTGTTTAGTGCTGTGGCGCCCTCTATAGGACAATCCCCTGACGTAGGAGCTATAAACAGTAGCTGATGGACTTGTGTGGGTTTCTTGGCATCCTGGAGTTCTACATTATGTAAAATGCCTTCAAAAGCACTTATCAAACCAGGAATACATGTAATTAGATAACATTTGATTTGTCATTAGCAGTTCCATCTAAAAGGGGTTTGTGGCTGGTAAACTAGAATCCATTACAAACTGTCAACTCAGAACAGATCTAAATGGCTCCGTGTGGGCGTGAATGAGAAGCGAGGGTGCTTACCACTTCTTGAACCAGACTAATCAGCTCCATTAGCCGGCGCCGCAGCTTGGCCACCTCCTCGTTCACCTTTGTCACATGCTGCTCATAGATCTCGGCCAGGGGTTTGAACGTATGACCTCCGTGCTGTGGAGAGGTGGAGGAGATAAGCAAGTTCCTGTTTGAGACAAACTGACATTCATTCATATTAGGCACAGTATTATTCATTGATAATTTGCTCCTATGTGTGACCAGTCATGTTTTAGCACAACACATTTGGATCTGAGGAAATGACAATTCACCAGCCTGACTAATACGTTTTGAATTCAGAATTGCGTACCATGCCTCCCCATAGAGCGCACTGGTGACAGATGCACTTCTTACAAGTCCAGCAGAACACACTCAACTTCTCATGATGGTTCTCACACCTGTTAGGGTGAGAAGAGAGAATCAGCGACAGTGAGTATTAACTCTACACTAATTGGTCACTTAGTCATCCCAGAAAATGAAAACCAAACATAAGCCAATGGTGCATCTTTTTTTCTATATGGAAACATTTTACCATGCCTATTTTTCCTAGGAAAACTCAAATACTGTATGAAAAGCCATGATATAAATAATGTTTTAAACATTTGCGCTGTTAATATTTTTGTAGAAACTGTGGTACACTTTTTAAGAATGTAAAAAAAAAAAAAACACACACACACACACACTTGAATAGACATTTTTAACATTACAAATTCTTTACGGTTACTTTTGATCAGTTTAATGCATCCTTGCTGAATAAAAGTATTAATTTCTTTCTTTAAAAAAGAAAAAAAACCTTACTGACCCCAAACTTTTGAACGGTAGTGTATATATTGCACATTTAATATTATATATAGTTATTCCACAGGGTCAAAAGTGCCCATGGTACACACTACTGCAGCTGTCAAGACTGTATTAATATTCAGTATTACTCACTTGTCTTTGTCGTTCTCCTCATGTTTTGTGAGGTTGCAGAGCTGTGTCTCGTCGCACCGGGACACATGGAAACCATAGACTGTATGATGAAAACACAGTATGGTAGGGGCGTAACATTTCCGTCACACGCTTGAGGTATTCAGCCAATCTGTTTTTTTAACCTTAAACCACATAAACACATTGCATTACACCAAATACACAAAATAATGTTCTTTTTAGCAGCATCATATGACCCCTTTAAGCATACCATGACTTGCTCACCAATAGATCCGGTATAGTTAATGGGTGCCGTCAGAATGAGAGTCCAAACAGCTGATAAAACATCACAACAATCCACAAGTAGTCTACACAATTCCAGTCAATGATCTTGAATTAATAATAAAATACTAATCTTGTAAAGTGAAAAGCTGCATGTTAGCAAGAAACAAATCCAACATTAAGACATTTTAACTTACATCCATTACTTCTGGACAAAATAATCCCTAGTGATCTGTGCATATTTCACTCCAGATTCAAATGAAATGACCTTTTCACTGGAGAAAGCATTATTATGGATAGAGGACTTTAGCTGGAAGCAACAGTCTGACGTTAAAAAACATCCTGATGTATTTGTTTATTTCCAACATGCAGCTTTTCACTTCACAATACATTATTTGATGGACTGGAGTAATTTGGATTATTGTGATGTTTATATCAGCTGTTTGGACTCTCATTCTGACGGCACCCATTCACTGCAGAGGATCCACTGATGAGCAAGTGACATAATGCTAAATTTCTTCAATTCTGTTCTGATGAAGAAAAACTCACCTACATCTTGGATTACCTTTAGGTGAGTAAATTTTCAGCAAATTTTCATTTTTGGGTGCACTAATCTTTTCAGCCAAAAATTAACATTCTGACTTCATTTACTCACCCTTATGCATTTTCTCATGTGCCTCAAGCTTGTAATATAGCGCACAAATCTTATTGATCACTGATAACTTTTTTTAATGATAAGAGCGTTCAGGAAATTTCTTATAAATTCACATTTTGTGTTCCACAGAAAAAGGAAAAGATACTTGAATGACATGAGGGTGAGTATAATGACAGATTTTTCCTGTTTGGCTAAAGGTTGAATGTAATGTTCCGTGTCAAGTTTTTGTCTTTAAACAAAAGTCAACTTGACGCCAGCATAAATCATAAAACATACACAAAGCATAAAACATACACACACATCATACTGTAAACATACCTCAACACTCTGCTCATCCATTTCAGCCAGTTTTACTTCTGACAGTCAAATATACCTGATGGGAGAACCTTGGTGGCTTTCACTGCAGTAAAAGCAGAGAGCAGAGACCATTCAGATGCTCACATTTTAGCAGTATAAATGCACACAGTCTGCCAGTCTACTGAAGGACAGTCTACAGTGGATCTCTATAAATGCCTGGCAACTCAGAGCTGATGTGACAAGTGACAGAAGACATTCATCTGTATGAGCTTATATGACTGCAGATGGCCAAAACACAGGATGAAATAAACACATAATATTACATGAACTGCCAAAATGCTGCAGGATACATCTGTCAACATCAAATGGAGGCCTTCATGGTTTTATAAAGCAAATAACGGTATCAAATACAATATATCAATGGTAAAAGTTCACAGATGATTGACTTCAACAACCAAATAACCCAGAAATGGGCAACATAGCGACCATTTCGATCAATAACAAACGCTGTCAGCTATTAAATATGCCTGCAGGGACAATATTTGAGCACATCCAACAAGAAACATCGTCACGTGCGAGCTTAAAACTTAATGCCAATACAGAGAGGATAAGAAACGACTGATAAACCGTTAAAATAAAAAATATATTATAAATAAATACACAATACATACACTAGCAGGTGATATAGCACAGGTTAGCATTTAGCAAGTTAGCTAGAGGGGTTTGCACAAAACTCAATGCACCATACAGAAAAACCTCGTATCTATCAAAATGCATTTACCTTTTAATGTTGCCCTCGAACCCGTCACTCCGACTGTCTACATCAAACGCTATTAATTTAGTGTTTTATAAACAGGTATTGTAGCATCAGACTGCTTGTTTATAGACTAGCAGCAGAAAGCAGCGAATGTAGCGCCTATATGTCATTGTCAGTCACCATGGGAGACCGTGTCAGTCACCATGGGAATCCGTATCCACCAATCGTATTTACTGTTGGTAGCCGAGTGGATTAGCATTAACCAATCACGATCGCCCATTACGAGTGGGCGGTTCATTTAGCGTTGTGACACGCCTACTTAAAAGCGCCAACATCAAATATTTAAAGCTGCAGTCCGTAAGTTTTGCTTCTTTGTCGCCATCTCTGTTTGAAAACCTGGAATTGCAGCTGGGTGCGGAATTATCTAGCTTGCGTGGGTTGTGAGTCGGCGCGGCTCCAGCGCTGATGAATCTAATGTTCTGAAGAGTATGTGTGGCAGTCAGTCACTGCACCGGTGTGGATATTTACTGTACTTCGCAATCACAGATTCTAGCCTACATCTTGGAATATGACCCAAATAAGAATTTTCACCGTATATTGCCATCTGAACAAGTAAGTAACAAGTCTGCCACGTTTGTTCTGAACACCTGAGGAAAAAAGCATTACCATAAATCTTGCTACCAATGGTGATTAAATCTAAAGATCGGTTAGCTCATATCACATCAAACTGTTCAAATTATTATTATTGTTATCTTTATTCTCAAATGATTAATGTTAACAACATCAGCATTGGTGACTATGAGTATAGTGTGTATTAGCATGTAGATTTCAATTTCTGCACAGTCTAATCTAATTGTCATACTCTTCGAATTTCATATTAAGAAAATCTTTTAACCCAAAAAGCAAATTATGCTCCCTTCGAACTGATTTTCTTTAAATTACAAATCTTTGTAATCCCAGGCTATATGTAATCAGAAGCACATTTATAACTGGAATATAATTTAATTTCATTCACATGTGTTTCATAAACACATAATCCTTTATGGATTACAATCCGCCATCAAAATGATACATTATTCTGGCTGCTGTGAGAAAAGGCTAGAAACGATCCGCCACCTGCAGGATCCTCACATCCATTGTGAATCGGGCTAAAGTAAGATGATAGTTTTGAACACTGGCTGGTTATGTACTTGCTCAAATATTGATTTCGGATCATTTTTAACCAAAAAAAGTTACGGACTGCAGCTTTAATTCATGACTATTCAGTTTTGCTTGTTGTTACCAGTTTTAACGGATTTAACAGTTTTTTGTAACTAAATTCTTAGTATTTTGTATCAGATTTACAATCTTTTGTCAAAATGACACAATGTATTTGTTTTCTGGTGTAACAGTAAAAGTTGATGTAGTTTAAACTAATGAAAGGTAGGTGATGTGCCATAAATATGGCATTTTTATCAAACGATACTAATTCAAAATCATACAATACAAGCTATATCAATGCCTCAAATAACCAAACAAAAATTTATGTCACATATTGGCTGAGTAACGACTGCAAATGTAGAGTACTTGCATAGTAAATCAAGATCTCAGCATATAACTTGTGGAGCATCTTCACTCTCCTGAGAGACACTGACCTACATGCTATACTGAGAACCTCTGGAGGCCTGCAGGTACAGAGGAACCATCGTACGACACTCAGGTTTGGTGGGGCTGCAGATCTGTTATGGATCCGATGGCTCATTAAATGAGCCATTTTCAAAGTCCCATATGAACATGTGCAAATTAAAGTTACATTCAGGCTATACCCAATGAGACGCAATTCCAACTCATTTCAGAGATATTTGAGTTAGTAGACTGACATCTGCCCACCATATCCTCACCTGTCATCCGTACGTAAAAAGTTGAGAACAAGCACTGATACAATACTGGACTTTATACACATTTTATGCTTCAAAACAAAAATAAATAGTAAGCAATATTGTGTTGAAATGTTGTGGGCTATTGGGTTTAAAACATGTTAAACAATTATTTTATTTCTATGCTGGCCATCAGATGTCAGCATTGTGCTTTGCTGATTTATTTTGGTGCTCCAGAATGATAAATGATTCACACACAAAATAACACACCTCAAGTTATATTTACATCTTAAATAAAGCAGTTCAGTTAAAATACCACACACAGTCATAAATCAAAATCATTACTGTGAATGAAACCAATTATTTTCACATGAATATAGTGTTTTGCTAAGTACCTTTTACAGTTACAGCTGGGGCAGTATTAAAATTTAAACTTGCTCACATTTAAATTGGGTTTATGTCATGCTGACAATATCAAATGCAAGACATATTAATGTCATCCCCGTCTTGGGAGGGGAAGGACTTGTTAATTCTTTCTTACCTGCAGACACCATGACAGAATTGCATAAATTTAAGTGAGCAAATGCACAGCTTTATACCAATATTTTCATTTGTAAATAAACAAATTCCTATGTAAATAGTGTTTACTGCTGAATCATATGCACAACAGTATATCCGATCAATTCCGTGAATTACATCTGCATGGGGTTCAACTTTACATTTCCTAAATATACAGTATGAGCAGCAAAACATTTTATACATCCATAAAAAGACCTGCATCAAGGAGAAATACACACTACGGCATGAGGGTGAAACACCCTTCAGTGAACATGACTAATCTACAAGAGAAACGCTGATATGTGGTGTATGATCACATAAAAACTGCAATCACATTAAGAGGAAGTATTAGCAGTTATTTGATTCAATATTTTAAAACAACTCATATTAAGGTAGATCAAACTGTTGACAGATCTTCTAAAGCCTGGTTAGAAAACCTTATTTAGTTTCACAAACTCTGCCTCATCCTTTATGAATCAGCTGCACAAATGTAGTCAGACAAGAATATTTTTGCAGAAAAGATATGACGGGGGACTGTGTAAGCATTTAAAAGACAAATGGAATGGTAACAGCCCAAATACAGAGAGAAAAGGAGTGGAGAACTTGGACAAGAGCAACCATTGCATATAAAAATGCTTTACCCGTCTTGATACGACCATGTCGCTGGCTTATTCACTCCAGAGGACATTACACTACGCTAACCTGCAAACACTTGTGGCTGAAGGGGAGGTGGCAGCCTGTCGTTCTCCACATTCTCCGCATCGATCGCGGATGCTCGTGGTTTGATCTCCAGTGGGTATCGCTCCAGGATTTCCTGCACCTCGCGGGACACGCTGTCTTGCCATTCTGCCAGTTCGGCCTGCAGGTTCTGCGCCCCCTCGATGACCTGCTGCTGTCTTTTCTCAAGGCTGGATAGGAGCTTGAGGTTGTGATGGATCTGGCTAAGTGCTGGGTTGACATGGGTACCACTCTGCGGCCAGGCTGCAGTATCGTCTTGCCTTCGAGGGGAAGCCTGACCGGACATGTAGCGCTCAAAGTCCTCAGGGCTGAGATTCAACGACTGGGCATCCAGCTTCTCTATGAAGGCAATGGCACAGCACTGAGGGGAACACGTGATGAAGATGAAAATTAAGAAAATACAATGAAAAGGAACCAAGAAAAGATGTGAATAGAAAAGATTAGACTAGACTAAACAGTAAGGTTTATTCATATGCATATGACTAGCCAGCCTCCAAATTTCAGAAGTAATTATAGTAGCCTCAAACAGTATTAGGACACTTTTGCCACACTTAAATGGATAGTACACTTAAAAATGTCAATTTTGCCATAATTTATTCACCATCATGTTGTTACAAACCTGTATTTTAAACAATGTTGCTAACCAAATCGCTTCCTATCGACTTCCATTATATTTTTTGTCCATACAATGGAAACCAAAACTGTTTAGCTACCAACATTCTTCATATTATCTTCTTTTGTGCTAGGAACAACATGAGGATAAATTATGACAGAATTTTCATGGGTGGATTGTCCCTTTAAAAATGTATTAATGTCATTGCATTAGATAAAATATTACACCAAGGGGCATTCATTTTAATGTAAAATAAGTACACTTTTGAACCAAAATATTCCACAAAAATAGTTTGTTTGGACATTATTAATTATTTTTGAGCCACTCTAAATTATGTGTGGACCTACCAGGTTGGTGAAGTAGTATCCATCCTCTCCGGTCATGAGTCTTGAAGGGTTGCAGAAACGTGTGATGTACTGGATGTTGGACTGCAGCCGTGGCGGGTTGGCCTTCAACACAATATAGATGAGGGTGGGAAGGAAGTCATCTGCAGAAGCTGGTTCGTTCTTGGTGACCCTGATGGCACTGAATATATGCTTGCTGCAACTGGTGATGCAGGCCAGTTTATCCCTGGGCACACGCTTGGAGTCCATCTCAATGATATCTGAGGTAAACAAAATAAGACGAAAAAAATCTTGTATCTCGATGGAAGAAAAAACAAAAGCAGCAACTAAAAGAGAAAATAAAACCATCATTGCAGACTCACCAGTGATGGCTTTGACTACACTATCAGAGACCTCAGGGATCTCTTCATCCACAGGAACACACAACATCTGAATGGTGACCCAGTGTAACGCCCTGGAAAACCATTATTTAACGAATAAATAAAAAAAATGCAGATTTTAAAGGTGAATGGCGTAAAAGAATACCTATTTGAGGAATTTTCATGTACAAACAGCAAGTTAACACTGATATGGAGCATGTTGTTAAAATATCAATATTAAATGTAAAACAAAAATTCAAAATATTATTTTGGTAACTAACCGAAATAAGTTTAAGCTAAAGTACTAAAATTACTAAAACTAACACTGAAATAAAAATAAAGCTAAAACCTAATTTTAAATATTAATAAATACTATAATAGCATATAAACAATACTAAACACTGGCTGACCGAATCCTGTGCTGGGTAGCCAGGTCTTTTTTCTCATCATCCGAGGTCTCTGGACAGAAGACGCTCTTGTAGAGTCGAGTCATGATGTATTTTTCCACTTGGTCCATTACTCTGTCCACTTTCTCAGAGGAGCCTGAGGAAAGAGGAGCCACCTGAGGTTTATATTTGCAAAAAAAGAATTCATTTGGCTTCTGGCAAACGATTGTAAACCATAAAAACTTAAGTATATATGTACAAAAATGTAAATAATCATTATGGTCCAATCACAGCATTCTACAGAGGACAGCTGCTTCTACTCATATACAACAAAAAAATCCTTTAGATACCTCACATACTTGTGTCTCACAAACAAACATGAAATCAGTTTGTTACATAACCCCACTCCCACATCACCATGCTCGCTGGGACGACAATGAAGTTTCTTAGGTGGTTAGCAGACATATTTGCCCCAGGGTTGTTAACTAAAACTATTAGAAATTGTTCTTGTTAACTGAAATTAAGTAAAATATAAATATTAGATTAAAAACTTTAAAGAAATATATACAGAGTTTGAAAATCTCTGAATTTGAAAAGTTCACGTTTAATAAAATTACTAACTGAATTAAAAACAAATTAAAAATGAAACTAAAATAAATAATTACATAAACAAAATTTTACAATTTAAATAAACAACAACAAAAAAATTACTAAGACTAATATTAAACCAGAACTGATATGAGCCATTTACTACCTTTTTAAAATTCAGGTTCAGTCAAACATTTTTCAAACAAAAAATAATTAAACATTTTCATAGATCATTTATAAATCTGTCATGCTCTAAAACCGAGGTGACCAAACTTTTTAGTACGAGGGACCAAAAATCAAATTTGATTGAGGGCTGTGGGCTAAAAGTAAATGCATTACCAAAGGTCAAGACAGGCCCTGGTTTGGACATCTCTGCTCTTAAAAATGTTTTATGCTGCAAAATGCTTCAAATGGACTACACTGGACTGCAATCTCACTCATTTTAATGTCCCAGCCTGACAATATTTAACTATTTTTTAATTACCAATGAAGAGGTTTCATTTTGTAGATACCCTTGTTTCCCAAACAAACCTGCTTCCCTTAACAATCGAGCCCGACTACATACAAAACACAACCATTTTTGGTCATCTTTTTTTAAAATACCATTACACAAAACAACCAGTCAGCAGATGAATCAGATTTAGTATTCACTCTAATGGATTCAGTGAGTATTTCATTTAAACAATTCAAACCATTTGAAACTTTTTGACCAATTCAGTGCTGCCAAGTTTCTCCGAAGCATGAATTCTACCTTTAAAATGATTCAAGAGTCGGTCAGACATGCCCTGATAGAAGTCCTGCACACACTCTGACAGTTCTTCAGCACTGAGATCCTTCAAATAAGAACAAAAACAAAAGAATGTGTTTACTTAAATGATTAACATCCAAAAGTTGCTGTGGGCAGGTGACCCTGGTTCTCACCTTTTTATTTCCCATGCTCTCTATGAAACCACGGCTCTGCTTGTGGATCTCTCTGCCGGGCTTCTGTAAGGTCTTGAGAAACTCCACAAAGTCTCGTGACACGTGATCAGTCTCGATGCTGGACTGGCGGGTAATGGAGGGACTGGGCGTTTTTCCCTCGTGGCTTTCTGAGGAGCACAAATAAGCGCTCAGAATGTTTACAAACAGGCTGTATGAACATACTGTGAAGAGGGTATTACAAAGGATCGCATGAAAATGGAAGTTCAGAAGTTAGTTTTCATCACAGAATGTCATGTGAAATTAAGTAATAATTTCCCATCATTCTTACAACAACTGAAGCAGCCAATCTTCAAAAAACAGTTTCTAAGGCTGAATTACACGTGACATTCTGCACAGAATAATTAAAAAAAAAAACACTGAATAAACAACATAAATTGTTAAATATCGTATATTCACAAGCTGACTTGCATCCCATGAAGAGACAGAACAACCTTCTCAGAAGTAGGCCATTCTACTGAAATATTGATCTGTTACCATGCCAACACCTTTGACATCAGATCAGAGTCAAAGACAGTAAAAGAGTAGCTGAATGAATTAAAAGAGAATTCTGGTACCAGCATGCTTTGGCTAAACTCTACACAAACAGATGTTCTAAATGCTGTTGCACCTGTCCTTCTAAACGCCCCATTGACAGTAATAGAGCGTTAGAAGGGTTTCAGCCTGAATGCATGCAGCTCATATATAACACTGATGCATTGGTTTGTTTTCTGTGATTTATGCTGGAGGGCTACAGTGATGTGGCACTAATACCCACCTCTCAGCCTTGATACCAGAGCTGCCACCAGATTGACAAGAAAAAAAGAGGAGGACGCATGACAATGAGACAGTGAACATGACAAAATGGTAGGGTGAATTCAATCATGTCTATTGACACACACAAAACAAATACACACTACACTATGGTATGGATCAGGGCAGTATGTCACAAAGAACAGCTAAAGGGGAACATAAAATAATTGCTGTACTTTGTGAAATACTTTTAGCAAAGATAATCTCTTCAACACAGAACATTAAAATCACACAAAAAACAGTGGTCCACCTAAGAGAAGACAAACACTGCAATCTCCACCTACGTTCCTTTTCAGAACCCCAGATTTTCCTTCAGGCTCTGTCTGTTACCTTCAGTGGGAGAGGCCATTTCCCAGGGTTGGGTAAAAATGCCCTTCAGATCCCTCAGGAGGTTTTCTCCATGGCTCTCCCTCCTGCCCTGCAACTTCTCTTTCTCGCTTTCTTTTTCAGGGGGGACTAAAACACCCAGGGTAGGTAATGGAAATGGGTGAAAGGGGGTGAAATAGATGAAAAATGTGGCAACAGAGGAGTTCAGATGAGAATATAAAGTGAAAAAGAGAGAGAAAATTGTGGGAGAGGTGGGGCGGAGATCAGACAGAACGGCAGAACAGCAACGAGATGAAGGAAACAAACTGAGAGATGAAGGGTGGATCACTTGTTCAAATAAAATCATCTTATAAGAACATGATAGACAAATGATAAAATCGTATGATAGCAAATGAATATATAACTATCAAATCAAGCAAGGATGGCTTACATAACCGTAGAAAAGTTTGGGGTCAGTAAAAAAAATAAAAAGTAAGCAAGCACGAATGCATTAAAATGATCAAAGTTGACAGTGAAGTCATGTTAAAAATTATTTCGATTTCAAATAAATGCTGTTTATTTTAACTTTCTATTCATCATAGAATCCTAAAAAATATGTAATAAAAATATGAACTGTTTTCAACATTGTTTCTTGAGTACCAAATCAGCACATTAGAATGATTTCTGAAGGATCATGTGACACTGAAGGCTGCTGAAAATTCAACTTTGCCATCACAGGAATAAATTATATTTTAAAATATGAAGAGTTAATTTGCAAAAACCGATAAACG